GGGGAAGAGAACGCAGGCAAACAGGTGTAGGATTCATGCCCTGCAGTAGTACCCAACTGTCTCCTCATCTGCCTCCTCGGAGCACTGTGTGAACTCTTCCCGTAGCCAGGAGATGAGAACTCCAGAAGTGCGAGCCCCTTGCTCGCCCAGCTCGCGCCCAAGGAAGGCCTCCACTCGTGCTCTCCAGCCCTCTGACCTGCACTGCCCAGTGACTGGGTTGCCGTGAATCCTTAGGCCTAGCATCTTTTGACAGTCCTAGAGCGTGATTGTCATCTCCCCGAAAGGTAGGTGGAAGCTGTGAGTCTCCGGCCGCCACCTATATTTAAGACAAAGCAAGATTACTTGTCAAAAAGTCAATCGCATGAACAAATGGCCATGAATGGAGGCAATGATTCAATTTAATACCTGTCAACCAACGTAGTTATGGCTGCTGAGTTGAACTTGGGCAACCCACGACGAACCTGAAAAGAGATGACATCCAGGCCAGCTCTTTGCAGGAAAGGAGTGTATCTGTCGTCGTACCGCATGTCTAAGAACCCACTGTGGGTTCTAGGACGAAGGAGCGGAAGGTCCTGCATCAAATAAAACATAGTCTCCTGTTACTTCATGAACACATGTACGCTCACCAAATTTTGAACAAAACTTATAGATTATTACCTGCCCCAGCGCTATGAGACGTCCTCGGTGGGTCGCCTCGTACGTCGGGTCGAGCAGGTGGAATTGCGCCACCCTATAAAAAAGTGAATGAATTAGAATTTCAATATACAATGAAACATGAACTTAGAAATGTATAAGTAATTGATAGAAATACAAGCATAAATTGAGACATGCATAATTAATTAAATGAATACGACAAATATAAAATAATAAAATCAACCAATAGTCACACCTCACTAATCTGCCAATGGCAACTTCGTGAATTGTGGCCAAGTCTACCGCACTTGCCGCACTCGTACTGCTCGGGGTCAGTAACAAATGGAGTTCCTCTCCCATGCCTCGTTCTTCCGGGTATCTGATCCATAACCATCCTGTGCCTCGTCCTCTGCCTTGATCCACACTTGTTCCAACGGTAAGCTGGATCCGCAATGTACTTTGGCCCATCATATGGAGGCCACTCTCTAGGGGCCCAAAAAGGCACGAAGCGGGGGCTCCATGTGTGCACATGCGTGTCGACATTGAACTCGTGAGGTATCCTCCTCTCGATATTATAGTTACGATGCCTAGCTGCTGCCACCAAATGAGAACATAGAAAGTGGTACTGCCTTGGTTTACCACAAGTGCATTTGAAATCTTGGAGGGCAACCACATGGATCCTCGACTCTCGGACCTCGCTGTCGGATGTTGTACCGCCCCTATGCTCGACCTGATAAGTCCCTGTGGCATGGTCAAAGCATGTAACCTCATGTGTGCCAGCCCTTTCTTTTGTTTTCTCTAGGTGTGCCTTTGGTTTCGGAGCCCATATCTCTCCATCACTCCATAACTGCAATGCATGGGCGTGTCTATCGTTGAACCAGGCAACAAGCTTATAGAAGGTGAATTGAATGATTGCATTCACAGGCATACCACGTATCCCCAATAGCAACTTATTGAATGACTCCGCCATGTTGCTGCACTGAAACTCGTACCTCTATCCACCGGCGTTGTGAGCTCTCGTTCATTTCTCCAAATCCCTCATCAAACCTGTCAGCCATTGTCTACCTTCTGCATTTGATGCGGTTCTAACCTGCTCCAACTTTTCCTGAAAGTACTTGTCCTCAAACTGTCGAGCAACCTCTTGGAACAGATCAAAGTTACCCTTTACACCATCCTTACGAAGTAGATTCTCGGCAAGGTGCCGAGTACACCAACGATGGTGCAAAGGTGCATACCCCTCTATCTGCTCTCGCATGGCATTAAGTATGCCCTGGTGCCTATCAGATATGATGCCAACCTCCCTGCTAGGCCCAACCATGTGTATCCGAACTAGCCTCAAGAACCATCCCCAACTGTCATTGTTCTCCTTCTCAACCAAAGCAAATGCCAAAGGAACCAACTTGTTGTTCGCGTCATAGGATATGGCTATAAGAAGTGTGCCCTGGTATTTGCCAATCAAGAACATACCATCAATGGAGAAGATGGGACGACAGTGACTAAAGGCCTCGACACACTGAGGGAAGCACCAGAAAGCACGGAAGAATATCTGCCTCCCATCCTTCCATGCATTTGGTTTTGGGATGTACTCATAATGCAAGCCTAGATTCCTTGCTTTGATTGCAATGAAAAGAACTGGCAGCTGCTCACCTTCATGTTGGGTTCTCCTTGCAAAATTCCCATCAACCGCTTGGCAATGAGGGTAGATGTCAACTATCGATGCCTCAGTGTCAGCTCATGATCAGCACAATTGTGTGGCCCGACAACTTTTGTGATCTTCCATTTTTCGGTGACCTATTGCTTCCTTGCACAAACCCTCCATAGGTAACATTCCTTGTCACATACAACTGTGTAACGACACTCCGCATATGAATGCAATACCTTGTAAGGTCTCTTTCGTATCACTGCAAAAGCCTGCAACCACCTCTTCAATGCAGGGAGGTCATTGAACACCCTCCCATTCTCAATTACCATGTTAGGACCGACCTCAGGAGCTTCTAGGAGCTCATCATCACGTCCTTCTACAAACGCCTGATCGGAATGAGCAAGATCGCTGAACTCATAAACTCTAGGATCACGACGGCCAGGAAAGATACGCCTCAGCATCTCAACATCACTCTCTATCAACTCTCCAACAGGGCGATCATCATCAAAATCAAGAGCCCTAGCCATCTCATATGACTCCGAATCATGCATAATTTAAACACTATTGGAGCCACGGAATCCATCTCCAAAGTGCACTTGCGCAGCAACAAGGGGCACATCCACATTCTCAGGAATGTCTCCTGCAACATAAGTAGAGAAATGAGGAAAGAATGAAAGAAATAGATGTAAGGAACGGGATAAGCTCACAAAAACCATGCGGTTAAGACACTTACTCGGATGATTCTGTGTCAAAGGGATCTCATGAGGAGGATCTGCCACGGAAACATGAGTCTGACAACCATCTCCAACTACCGCATTGGGGGCAGATTGAGCATCGAGAACCGTAGGTGCAATCTCCACATGCATATAAGGTTCTGGAATAGGAGGGTCGATGTGTGCCTGCTGATCCATTGGTGGGGAAAACCCATGAGTGATGGGATCAACTAACACCCGACGCACAACCACGTCCATACATTGTAGCTGGCTCTTCATAGCCGATCTCACATAGTTCTCCCACTGATCCGCACAACCAATTGAGATCATTCGCCTGAGGATGTTGGGAGGAGAACCTAGGTGTAGTACACCATCAATTGCAATGCCATCATCTCCAAGGCAATGCAGCGCCTCCCGAGCCCTTGCAACCATCTCACTAAATGAAGGCCTATCATTGAATAACACAGGCATGCTTTGCATGTCAACAAACTCAATATATCCATAGCAATCGCTTTTAACGGTGCCTCCATGATATATGGTCACTAGGTTGTCCATCTAGTTCAAACACGTAATGAAACACATGTCCTTTAGTCCAAATTAGACGGTAAATAATACCTAACAAGTACTTTCTAACTACAAACTAAGTAAATAAGATAATAACTACGTATATATATACAGTGTACTCACTAAATAGCTTGATCATATTTAGTTAACTAAATATGTAACTACATATCTAAGTAGCTATCTAACTATATCTATGTACCTATGTATCTATGTTTCTATCTATCTACATATATATATATCTCACTAGATCACTAACTAAATCAACTACATGAGTCATCACATTAACACGTAAATAATAAATATCAACTAAGTAGGTACATTGCATATTTATAATTTTTACCTTTCCAACGATTGATCCATGGATGTCGATGGAGTCGCAGCGGACGACGGGCGTGGGTTAGGCCGACGATCCGGGCCGGCGGTGGCGCGGCCGACGACAGCGGTGGGGCGCAGCGAGCGCGGGATGCCCGGGGCTCCGCGCGGCGAGTCCGGCTCGACGGGCGCGGGAGGCACGGCGGCCGCGGCCGAGGCCGGCGGTGGAGGGCGGCAAGGCGGGGCGAGGCCAAGGCGTGGAGAGGGCGCGGGCGCAGGAACCGGGGCGTGGACGGAGGGGCGTTGGCCGTCCGCGGTGGCGCAGCGCTCCTTCACGGCCTCGGGGCGCGGGCCGTCCGCGGTGGCGCGGCGCGGGGCGGCCTCGGGGCGGGCTCGGGGTGCGGGGCGTCCGCGGTGGCGCGGGCGCGGTGCGAGCGGGGGCGCGGCGTGGCGCGGGCAAGGGCGGCCGGTGGAGGCGCGTGCGCGGGCGGCGGCGGCGGCGGCGAAGCTCGGCTCTGCTATGCTAGGGCGAGAGAGGGAGAGGAAGAGAGCAAGAGAGGGGTGGGGCCCATAGGTAATAAAGGCTCGGCGCCAGTCACTCTGACGCCGAGTCGGCGCCAGGATCTACGGCGCCGAGCTCGACGCCAGGGTGACTGGCGCCGAGCTTCCTACCATGTCACCTTCCACATTCGCTTCGAGCCCAGGAGCTCGGCACCAGGGATGCTGACGCCGAGACGTGTTAGCTAGAAACCAGCCTCAAACCGTAAAGAAGCTGTTCGAGGTAATGGGCCAGTACGCAAGATCCGATGACGATCTGAAAAGGCGAAAAGCAACTCGCAATTCGTGGAGACAGGTGAACAAAACACCAAGGCCGCGCCGACAATAGTATATAGCGGAATGTAAAGCCTTTTCACTCAATCAACAACCTCCATGAGGAGTCAGGACAGTCCGTATCAAACCAGCTGCCTCCCGGACCTTCGCAGAATAAGCAGCACAGAGGTTTCGACCGTCCCGGCCGCGGAGGCCGTGGATCGCGCGACGATCGAGATGCTAGAGGAAGAGGCCAGAGACCGCCGTATTGCGCCGTTTGCAGTAAGAACACCAGCCATGTCACGAAAGACTGCAAGTACAACAAAATGGCGAGAGAACTCAAAGGGAAAGATGATGCCGCAAAAAGTAGCGAACTACACATGAACGAACTGAAGAATTACACGTACGGGAAGCACATTGTGGCACGTGTCGAGAAGCTAATCGTTACAGGAGGTAAGCAGACAGCAAATTATTTGCATCGTGATGCAAAAAGAAAGAATTTGATGTACTCTTATACTGAACCAAACACTTTCCTGTTTCTGATTTCAGAGAAGCGACCAAGGATGGCGTCCCTGAGTGGCCAACATCAGCAGCCACCGAACTGTACAGCTGTAGATGCACACTAATCCCTTTTTATGCATGCATTGGCGTCAAATACGACGAGCGCAGGTGGCATAAGTGACGCTGAGAGTTCGGTTTTACTACATGGTTTAAATAGGGTACTTGCAGATAATCAAGGATTTATGTTGCCTGTATATAACCAGGTGTGGTGTTTTTGGGAACTCAGTAGTTAGATGAGAGGTAGGTTTTCGGCACTGTAAATCCTTCTGGCCATGTACAAGTTTATTACATACAGTGGATAATAGATGTACATTGTGCTGGAGCGTTAGCTTTTGGTAGTAGGTGAGAGCGGTGCTGTGTAATATATCTCTGGTGCTCGTCTTCTGATGAAGTCGGTAGAGCTCCAGTGCTGTTGGTTCACCGTACAACGTACAGTTGCTCTTTTGTAGCACTGATGATCCTTCAAATCTATGCTCGTTTTTCTTTCTTTCTTTCTTTCACGGCTATGTATGCTTGTTTCGACAGTTAAATTTTGAGAGGCTCTGGGGTCTTTTCTGATAATATTTCTTTCTTTTCTATGTAATGCATATTTTTGGTGAGGTTTTGAGTACTGCGGTGTGACGTGGAAGCAGGAGGGGTGAGGTTGCATGTTATGGGTCACTTTTGTAGAGCTCTCGTTCCTGATTCTTAAGTTTCACTTCTTGATTCTTCGAAGGAATGATTCTAGTGGGGAGTACGTGATTCTTGTTAGTTCTCCACCAGAGAGTGATTTTCGTCAGCTCCTCGTCAGAATCTAGTTCTATTTTAAGCGTTTGGTAGAGCTCTGGAAGCTGAGCGTGAAGTTAGGCTAGGAGCGGACAACTTTGCCCACTTTTATTTATTTTATATATTAATATCGTAATAAGGTGCTGGTACATACATATGGGGGATAGCAAGGTACATGATACTTGCATGGTAGCGGTGGAGAGTTGTAGTTGGTAGATTAAGGGTCCTCAAGGTCTCCCTTTGGTAGGGGGGACCCTTTGGTAAGGGGGTCCTCGTGGCATCCATGACAATGCTCAACCTTATTATCATTACCGATTTTCTTGAATGTTGCAGCATATGCCTTTGCTCGTCCTGCGACCTGATCACGGCTGCTCTTTTCTGCAGCCATTATAGGGGGCATCTCTGCAGTGCAATAGCTGATGAGGACAAGCATGAGAACAGCACACACAAGAATATTCATTGCTCTTGGTGAACCTGATTAACCTGAGGGCATAGAAGTCATCATAAGCACTGAGATGAGATGATAATCTACTCTATCTGAAAGATCATTCTTGACTTACACATCATCAGAAATAGTCAAGTTTTGTACTATATATAAGCTCATGCAACAGTAGGAATATACATAATTATGCACATATTACTAAGACAAAAATATCTTTTTCCCTATTAATGTAGTAATTTCCCTATTAATGGCCTGATGACATTGCAATTTAACCACAGAAACTTATACCAAATTTCTTTTTCCCTATTAATGTAGTAATTTCGGGCTAGATTGATGTCACATTACTTTTCATAGTTGGCAAATTTTGGAATTGCTTGCTTTTTCTTTCCAACGAGTATTGATGCTTTCTTCAGGGGCTTGCAATTAGTTTGTGTAAAACATTAATAATATAATATGATTTTAGTATGATGATTGCATTTATTCTGGTGTAGAAATGCTGCCAGTTACCTTAATGATTTACTCCCTCTGTTCAAGAATACAAGGCATATTTTATTTTGTCAGGTCGTTGAAGTCACCTTTCACCATTGTTTTCTCATAAAATATATCATTTGTTCCTGCAAAACCAGTATTGTGTGAAAGCATTTGAAGCTCGTGTCTAATTGTATAAATTTTTGTACACCAAAACACTTGTATTTTTGCTAATTGTTGTAATACATGAAGTTTGACTTTTTTCCAAAAAAAGTGCTCCTCCTGCATCAAGTCAGTATGTTGGTCTCCAGGCTCCACTATAGGCCAATATGTTTTATGATATCTAGATTCAAATTTCTATGATCGGTTTGAGTTGGAGTGACATGTATTTTATTTTAGTTTTAACATGCTGGATATTTAGTTGAGGAATACAAAACAGTTTTTTTACTGTTATGTCATGATTTCTGACTACTCAACTTTGCCCCTCTGTTGTGCACTGTTACTTTGTTCATTGTGGTGTTATTTTTATTTCTAATTCTAATTAATAACCCTAGTTGCAAGTCCTTTGGTGGTTCTGTGCCTTTTAAATTAGTCTCAAACAGCCTCTTCATTTCACATGTGACATTGTTATGGAAGCTTCATCCCCAATTATAGTTTGCTTCACCTGATTTATGTCCTAAATTACTGAACTTCCACTGGAAAACTCAAGGGTCTAGCATACTGTTAGATGGTTTTTGGTTTGAGGATTGGCTTCACTATAGGATTTCCTGGTCATCATGTGGCAATCAAATGATTATTTTGGTCGTTGTAACCTCATTCGTTAGCTTGTGGGAACAACAGTTAAATTCACTCTTGGAAATCTCTGCTTACAGCCGCACTGCCAACCCAATTTATATTAACTCTGGCCTTAATGGACGTCATCTTGTGGGTTGTCCATGTTTGCTTGAATGCCCTTAGTCCTGTTATTACTATCTATGGCAAATTATCCACAGTAAATTGTTGTCATCCTTTTGAAATCCAATGGCATTAGAACCAGATGCATTATGATTTTTTAATTTCTTTTTGTTGATCTCCTGCACCACGTCCAATGAAGTTTAATCTATCCTTGTGGTGCTTTATGGGATAATTTCTGTTGTTCATATTAACAGGTTTTGGAGGTACTTGATATGGATCGAAAGATCGACATTGTTCATGAGCTCAAGAATTATGTTCTGAAAAGTATTGGTGATCAAAATGGTAACCATGTGATCCAGAAATGCATTGAGTGTGTTCCTGAAGACTGCATTCCATTTGTTATTGATCCTATACTTTCACAAATTCTTGTTCTATGTACCCATCAATATGGCTGCAGAGTCATTCAGGTACATAACACATCATTGCCTTTTTTAAGATGAGTCTTGTTCCATGTACTAACTAATTTCATTGTTACAGAGAGTTCTGGAGCATTGCCATGATCCTGTGACTCAAAGTGCTATCATGAATAAAATTGTGCAGCAGACCTTCCATTTGACGGATGATAAATTTGGGAACTATGTTGTTCAAGTATGTGAATTATTTCTCCCTCTTGTGTTTATTTGAATATCTAACTTTTGATTTCCATGGTACATTGGAATATTCACTTAATAAACTCAGGAACTATGTTAATGATATTTGAGCAAAATGAAGCTACTTTCTCTGCAATGCTGTTATATTATGTTGCCTTTGCCTGTGGTGTACTAACTTGGTTTTTTTTTTTGTGAAATCTGTTTTGAACATTCTATAGCATGTGTTGGAACACGGGAAGCCAGAAGAACGTTCATCCATCATTCAAAAGCTCTCAGGGCAAGTGGTCATTTTGAGCAAGCAAAAGTTTGCTTCTAATGTCATTGAGAAATGTTTGGCTTTTGGAACTCCTGAAGAACGTGATAGCCTTATTGGGGAAATCATTTCATCTGGTCAAACATTTCAGGTTTGTCCTATTTTATATTGCTATAAGCTGGTACATTTTGGCATTCCATAGACAAACCATTCCACTTTTATGCTTACTTGATCACAGTGTTTCAAGACATTAAGACTACATCTGCATAATAATATTACCTAATTCATGTCATGGCTGTATTTTTCATGACAATAATAGATGGCATTCTGGTATACATTTCACACATCAGTAGCACCATCGTTATTGTTTTTTTTCTTGTGTAGCTAGAATTATTTTCACATCTGTTGCCAATTTCATAAGAGCCTTGTGGAGCTTTCTGGGCACTATAGCTGTTAGATTTCAATTGGCACAGGTAGTATGTACATGTTGTACATGCACATGGTGCTTTGGCCTTTAATCTGTTTGAACATGCATGCCATGTTCTCTTTGTTGGAGTTTAACAAGTTTGATGGCGCTCTTAAATTTTTTTGGAGTTTATCGGTGATGCATTTTTTCATTCATGACTCATGACTATATGCATCTGTTTTGCAGGAATTGATGAAGGATCAGTTTGGTAACTATGTTGTACGGAGAGTCCTTCAGACATGTGATGACAAGTACCTAGAGATGATCCTCTCAAGCATCAAACTACACTCTTGAATGAACTGAAGAATTACACGTACGGGAAGCACATTGTGGCACGTGTCGAGAAGCTAATAGTTACAGGAGGTAAGCAGACAGCAAATTATTTTCATCGTGATGCAAAAAGAAAGAATTTGATGTACTCTTATACTGAACCAAACACTTTCCTGTTTCTGATTTCAGAGAAGCGACCAAGGATGGCGTCCCTGAGTGGCCAACGTCAGCAGCCACCGAACTGTACAGCTGTAGATGCACACTAATCCCTTTTTATGCATGCATTGGCGTCAAATACGACTACACACTAATCCCCTTTCACGGATTGGCGTCAAATACGACGAGCAGGTGGCATAAGTGACGCTGAGAGTTCGGTTTTACTATATGGTTTAAATAGGGTACTTGCAGATAATCAAGGATTTATGTTGCCTGTATATAGCCAGGTGTGGTGTTTTCGGGAACTCAGTAGTTAGATGAGAGGTAGGTTTTCGGCACTGTAAATCCTTTTGGCCATGTACAAGTTTATTACATACAGTGGATAATAGATGTACATTGTGTTGGAGCGTTAGCTTTTGGTAGTAGGTGAGAGCGGTGCTGTGTAATATATCTCTGGTGCTGGCCTTCTGATGAAGTCGGTAGTGCTCCAGTGCTGTTGGTTCACCGTACGACGTACAGTTGCTCTTTTGTAGCACTGATGATCCTTCAAATCTATGCTCGTTTTTCTTTCTTTCTTTCTTTCATGGCTATGTATGCTTGTTTCGACAGTTAAATTTTTAGCGAGGCTCTGGGGTCTTTTCCGATAACATTTCTTTCTTTTCTATGTAATGCATATTTTTGTGAGGTTTTGAGTACTGAGGTGTGACGTGGAAGCAGGAGGGGTGAGGTTGCATATTATGGGCCACTTTGGTAGAGCTCTCATTCCTAATTCTTGAGTTTCACTTCTTCCGAAGGAATGATTCTAGTGGAGAGTAAGTGATTCTTGTCAGTTCTCCACCAGAAAGTGATTTTCATCAGTTCCTCGCCAGAATCTAGTTCTATTTTAAGCGTTTGGTAGAGCTCTGGAAGCTAAGCGTGAAGTTAGGCTATGAGTGGTTTCAAAGGGGTCGTATGGTACCCCTTTGGACAGCTTTGCCCACTTTTATTTATTTTATATATTAATATCGTAATAAGGTGCTGGTACATACATATGAGGGATAGCAAGGTACAGGATACTTGCATGGTAGCGGTGGAGAGTTGTAGTTGGTAGATTAAGGGTCCTCAAGGTCTCCCTTTGGTAGGGGGGACCCTTTGGTAAGGGGGTCCTCGTGGCATCCATGACAATCCTCAACCTTATTATCATTACCGATTTTCTTGAATGTTGCAGCATATGCCTTTGCTCGTCCTGCGACCTGATCACGGCTGCTCTTTTCTGCAGCCATTATAGGGGGCATCTCTGCAGTGCAATAGCTGATGAGGACAAGCATGAGAACAGCACACACAAGAATCTTCATTGCTCTTGGTGAACCTGATTAACCTGAGGGCATAGAAGTCATCATAAGCACTGAGATGAGATGATAATCTACTCTATCTGAAAGATCATTCTTGACTTACACATCATCAGAAATAGTCAAGTTTTGTACTATATATAAGCTCATGCAACAGTAGGAATATACATAAATATGCACATATTACTAAGACAAAAATATCATTACTGGAGGCTGCGTCTTTGCCGAGTGTTTTTACCATCGGCAAAGGCTTTGCCGAGTGTAGCACTCGGCAAAGTCCGCTGGGCAAAATTTTTCTCGGCAAAGGGTCTTTGCCGAGTCCTTTTTATCCGGGCACTCGGCAAAATAAAAAAAATTGCCGAGTGTTTGGGGAGTGTGGGGGTATGGCCCCCCAAGACATGGGCCGCACCATCGGAGGTGGCCCGGCCCATAAGATCAAGGCGTGCACGGCGCTACTCGGCGTGCACCGCAAGATATTGTATAGTACCAAATATGATACTTTACTTGTAACCCTGCCCCTCCAGAGTATATAAGGAGAGGCAGGGGTCCTCAACTCAACATCATGTATTCAATACAATACACCAAAGACACAGGACGTATGGTATTACGTCGATCAGACGGCCCGAACCTATCTAAATCGCTGTCTCTGCGCCTTGTGTCACCATCTGGTTCCTGATTACGCGCATCCCCACCGACAAATCTACCATCGTGGGATACCCCTCGGTGGACTACCGAGCATCTTTTGTCGACAGTTGGCGCGCAAGGTAGGGGGGTGCGCGCTTGATCCATGGCGAGCCAGATGGATCTCAAATCAACAACGCGTTCTCGTCGCCAATCTCGTGGAGATCCATCCTGGTCCACGACGATGATTCATCGCTGCTACACCAGCCCCTGCGATAGTAGATCCGATCTCGGAACCAACAACTCGCCGCCAATGCTCTCATCAGCCCTCGTCGACGACTCACCGCCGCTGCCCTCATCGATGACTCGCCGTCACTGCCCTCGGCGGCCTTCGCCGACAGCCCTCGCCGACATCTTTCACCGACGTCCCCCGTCGTCGACTCATCGTCACCGCTCGGTGGCCTTCGCCGACATCTTTCGTCGACGTCCCTCGCTGTCGACTCGTCGTCACCGCTCGGCGGCCTTCGCCGACATCGTTCACCGACGTCTCTCGCCGTCGACTCGTCGTCACCGCTCGGCGGCCTTTGCCGACATCTTTCGTCGACGTCCCTCGCCGTCGACTCGTCGTCACCGCTCGGCGGCCTTCGCCGACATCGTTCGCCGATGTCTCTCGCCATCGACTCGTCGTCACCGCTCAGCGGCCTTCACCGACATCCTTCGCTGACGCCCCTCACCGTTGTCTCATCGTCATTACTCGGCGGCCCTCACCGACATCCCTTGTCGCCGTTGAGCAGCAAGCGAGCTACCCGCGTCGCCGGCCAGATAACGCCATACGCCGCTGACCAGACATTCTGTCGCTCGTGCTGACTAGACATTCCGTTGAGCAACAAGTCATGTTTTAATATTCTTCCAAATATTCTCCAATCTCCGTATATCGTCATAATATTTCTCTGAGTTGTTTTCTCCATATTTGCTCTCCAAACAATTTTTCGAACCCTCGAACAGTCACGTTGATGCTCGGACGCCTTCAGAGATGGCCCTGTCTTCGGCTCCTCCCTACACGTGCTACGGGCTCCGCGCTCTTCGTTATGGGTGGTCGGCAGTGGCTCCTTGGTCACGCCTGTTTCTTCTACACATGCACGGGCTCCGCGCTCGACGTTATGGACTATAGGCTAGCTAGGGCTGAAGACTCAGCTACACACTAACTGTTCGGGCGGTTTATATTAAACATAAATATATTTTCACGCCAACTAATCGCCGAACTGCATACGCCGTTTCATCACCATTGCTGATTTTTCTCCTGAGTTTCTTTATTTGTACATCGTGTACTACCCGTTCTACATATTTGTATTGCAGGATCGTCGTCTAGGTGATCGGACCACCTGGTGCTCGGGCTTCTCCACCGATCAACTGGTCGGACCGCTTGGTTCATGGACTCCATCGCCGACCAGTTGATCGGACTGCTCGCCGGTCGCTTCTACTCAATGTTCACTTCGCCGCCGACCAGTCGACCAGAATGTTCGTCGCTCGTGCTTCATCGCCAGTTACGTCGGTTACTCCTCGGCCCTCGGATTCTTCATGCTCGAGGACTAAGTGGGCACACTTCACCGCACAGACGACGTCAGCTACGTCGGTGCTCAGACCTCGCCGCCTATGCCGGGGACTCCTCGGTGCTCGGACATCGCCGCCTACGTCGGGGACTCCTCGGTGCTCGGACCTCGCCGCCTACGCCGGGTACTCCTCGCTCCTCGGTGCTCGGTCATCACCAGCGACGCCGGGGACTCCTCGCTCCTCGGTGCTTGGACATCGCCAGCGATGCCGGGGACTCCTCGCTCCTCGGTGCTCGGTCATCGCTAGCGACGCCGGGGACTCCTCGCTCCTCTGTGCTCGGACATCGCCGCCTACGCCAGGGACTCCTCGCTCCTCGGTGCTCGGAATCGCCAGCGACGCCGGGAACTCCTCACTCCTCGGCGCTCGGACATCGCCAGGGACGCCGGGGACTCCTCGCTCCTCGGTGCTTGGACATCGCCAGCGACGCCGGGGACTCCTCGCTCCTCGGTGCTCGGTCATCGCCAGCGACGCCGGGGACTCCTTGCTCCTCAGTGGTCGGTCGCCGCCCGGCAGGGACTCCTCGGTGCTCGGACATCGCCGGCCGACGCGGGAACTCCCTCGCTCCTCGGTGCTCGAGTCGCCGCCCGCCCGACGCGGGGACTCCTCGCTCCTCGGTGCTCGGTCATCGCCAGCGACGCCGGGGACTCCTTGCTCCTCGGTGCTCGGACATCACCAGAGACGCCGGAGACTCCTCGCTTCTCGATGCTCGGACATCGCCAGCGACACCGGGGACTCCCTTGCTGCTCGGATCTTGCTACGTCTCGTCGGTGTGCTATCAAGCTGCTCCACGCTGTTCGGATTAGGGTGCTGATCTTGGGCAGCACGTCTGGGGTCTTGATACGCGCATGTCAGACGATGTCAGCAAGCTTTCAGACTTCTTTGACCCTGCTACAAGATTCATTCTTCATCTTCCAGCAGGCTCGGGGACTAAGTGGGCATACTTCACCTTGCGGTGAATGTGCTTGTTCTCATCTCGAGGCTACGCCCGAGGACTAGCTGCTGCTCTTTCTGGTCTTCTACTTTATGACACGGCACCCGCGGATGCATCACCCCTCTTGTCGGGGCTCGGGGACTAGCTGTGGGGTATGGCCCCCAAGACATGGGCCGCACCATCGGAGGTGGCCCGGCCCACAAGATCAAGGCATGCACGGCGCTGCTCGGCGTGCACCGTAAGACATTGTATAGTACCAAATAGGATACTTTACTTGTAACCCTGCCCCTCTAGAGTATATAAGAAGAGGCAGAGGTTCTCTACTCGACATCATGTATTCAATACAATACACCAAAGACATAGGACGTAGGGTATTA